TTGCTGCCCTGGTCGGGAGCCGACCTGTGCCAGCACCGGCTGGAGGCTGGACAGAGCCTATGGCACCTGTTTCTGTGACGAAGCCTGCAAGCTCACTGGGGACTGCTGCTACGATTACCCGCAGGCATGCCCAGGTAGGTCAGCCAGCCCCCGCCCGGCGCAGGGAGGCCAGGAGCATGCAGGTGGCTCGGTGCAGCCACGGCACCCTGCGGCATTGGCTTCCGCCCGAGTAGCCCCGGGGAGCTATGGAGCAAGCCAGCGTTCCCCCAGCTCTTACCGAGCGTGAGTCACGCCGCAAGGAAGAATGCAAGGAAGTGACTGAGGGTGACCTGTGCAGGGGGGCAGCGCAAGAAACAAAGTTCCATTCACCTGCAACGTGTAGTCCAGGGGAGCTACTGCCCCGGCCTTACTGGGTGTGGCGGAAAGACAGTGTAAGAACGCTGGGGGAACAGTCAGAACATGTATTTGTTGCATCTTGGTGGCGTATGCACTTGACGTTCCACTCTTCTGTTGTTGCTTTTTTCCTACTAATGAATGGGGGTAAGATGATGCGAAGGAGGCTCTGACTTTTCCTTAGAATGCAGATCACAGTGGGGACCTATTCATCTTTGCTGTCACTCACCCTCAGTCTGTCAAGAGACGGGGATGCATTTGGCCCTGTGTGAACATGGTGGTTAGGCGTTGCATTAAGCAGAAAAGCAAGACTGACCAATCTTTTCGCCTATCCCTCCACATGTGGGATGTGTTTCCAGTTGCCGGTAGTTGCTATGCTTGGAGTTTGCATGCCCACTTTTATGTACCCCATAAAATGATATGGAACTTTTTTTTAAGCCATTGTCTAAATGCTCTCACACTGTAAAATTACAAAGCTAATGGATTCACACCAGAGATACATTTGCTGAAATATGTTTTTTTAGGCTGACTGGTGATGCTAATTTAGTTACCCATAGAGCACACATCAGTTTGTATTTGAGTGCCTTACAATAATGTTTAATGTATTTATCCTCCACGCACCATTAAGAGGAAGGCAGTGTTATCTTCATTTTATGGCTGAAAAACTGATGCACAGAGAGTAAGGGCAGGTTTACACAGCAGGGCTAAAGCTGAAATAAGCTATGCAACTTGAGCTATGTCAATTGCTAGATTAAGTCAAAATAGCTTTTGGTGCTGTTTACACAGCAGGAAGTCGGAATTAGAGCACTCTTCTTCCGACTTTCCTTACTCCTCATAAAATGAGGGTTACAGGAGTCAGAATAAGAAGTCCTCCAGCTCCACATTATTTCGATATTATGTCAAAATAACTGCTTGCTGTGTAGACACGGACTGTTATTTCGGAATAATGTCAGTTATTCTGAAATAACACTGCTGTGTAGACATAGCCTTAGTGAATTGCCTAAAGTCTCGAAAAATGTCTATACTAGACCGTGTCACCTAAGATCTCGGCTTGTGCCCTAACCAACAAATCAGCCTTCCTTCCTGATACTAGCAGAGGAAAAACAGTCATAAGAAAATGTAATATGGAATGCATCAACTACAGTTTTAAAACTTCGTATAATTTACATTGTAATCTCAGGTTGGAAAAACAATGGATGGAACATCAGCAGAATTATTTCTGTGATCATTGCACTTGCTCAAAAAAATAAAACAAACAAATAAACAAACAATCAAAAAACACCTGAGCTGTTCAAGCTGTTCTGATATAGAAGCAGCAGTGTGTGGCTGCAGGCACCAC